TTGTCTGGGTGCCAGGTCCCCCAGGTTTTAACCCTTTAGAGAAACAGCTGTGTTTACATTGCAGGGTTAATCCAGCCTCTAGTGGCTGTCTTCCTGAAAATCGCATCCAGCATGCAAAACGTCCATAGGAAAGCATTGAAATTGCTTTCCTATGGACTGTATGAATGCGCGTGCGGCTCTTGCCCTGCATGCGCATTCCGCTCCACTCAGGAGCTGATGTCGGTGGGGGAGGAGAGGTCACCAGCGCCGAAGGAGCCCGGCACTGGATTAAATTCAATAGCTGAAAGGGTTTTAACCCCTTCAGCGCCAAGGGAGGGGGGCGGTAGACAATGTAATAGAGCAGCAGAAAATGCTAGCAGAATGCTTGATTGTATAAGGAGAGGTATTAGCAGTAGAAAGAGGGAAGTGCTTATGCCATTGTACAGAGCACTGGTGAGACCTGCAGTATTGTACGTAGTACTGGAGACCGTATCTTCAGAAGGATATTGATACCTTAGAGAGGGTTCAGAGAAGGGCTACTAAACAGGTTCATGGATTGCAGGATAAAACTTACCAGGAAAGGTTAAAGGATCTTAACATGTATAGCTTGGAGGAAAGACGAGAGACAGGGGGGATATGATAGAAACATTTAAATACATAAAGGGAATCAACACAGTAAAGGAAGAGACCATATTTAAAAGAATAAAAACTACCACAACAAGAGGACATAGTCTTAAATTAGAGGGGCAAAGGTTTAAAAATAATATCAGGAAGTATTACTTTACTGAGAGGGTAGTGGATGCATGGAATAGCCTTCCAACTGAAGTGGTAGAGGTTAACACAGTAAAGGAGTTTAAGCATGTGGGGGATAGGCATAAGGCTATCCTAACTATAAGAGAAGGCCATGGACTAATGAAAGTATTTAGAAAATTGGGCAGACTAGATGGACCGAATGGTTCTTATCTGCCTTCACATTTTATGTTTCTATGCCCTGAGGGTGGGGGAGGTCCAAAGGAGTATATAGTGTCAGGAAAACGAGTTTGTTTTCCTGACACTATAGTGATCCTTTAAAAAAGTTACATATTGTGCTTTCTGCTTTTTAATTATTTTCAAAATTATGCCATATTGTACTTTTCTTTTCTAATTAACTACAGAACATCACAGTTTTTTTTTTTTTTTAAATAGAATTACCATTACTATACGCTAGCAGGTACGCTTTCTCCAGTCACTTACCGTAATCTAATCTGAACATTTTAAATCAACAGTTTGACAACTGGGCCACCTTTCATAGAATGTAGTATGTACTTTACTTATCAAAAGTAAATTTAATCAGAGAGAGGAGGTGATTACAGCCACACAAGTCTGATTAAGTGAGTAATCAACACTAACATAGAGTTAAGAACAATTCTGGTGTAATGTAAATCATACCCAATGCGGAAAGGACACAATGCTAAAAGAAAACGCATAAGTTACACAGTACTCACATAGTTGTCACTGTCCTGTTTTTGTCAGGACAGTCACGTTTTGGGATCCAGTAGTGCATTCTAAAATCTGTCCGGCTTGTGATTGTGAACATTCCGGCAGATTACTGTGTGCACCCTCCTTAGTATCCAATTATCCAGGAGGCATAAGCCTTATGGTTTTAATTTGACACATTTACTCCAGGGGTCCTCAAACTGTGGCCCTCCAGATGTTGCTGAACTACAACTGCCATGATTCTTTGAATTACATAGATAGCCAGAGAATCATGGGATTGTAGTTCAGCAACATCTAGGGGGCCAGAGTTTGAGGACCCCTGATTTACACAATGTATAGCACCCCACGCTTACTTTGCCCGCCAACATGTGGCAGATAGGACTTCTCTCGTTTTTCCAGTTGGTATTGAGATTTACTGGGTATCGGATCTATTTTTGTCCTATTGTCAATCACTATGCATTAATGATGAGTGTGGATCTGCAGCTGGTATTTCACGTTGTCAGTGCTACGGGATACATTATAGTTTTGTTTTGCCTTCTTTGTTCCTATTATACTCTCAGCAATTCTTTTTTTTTCCCCTTTCAACTTAATTGTATTCTCCCATTATTTTGAAATACCGTGGCGCGCAGTTTAATTCTTGTGTGTGAAATATTAAAAACATTGTACGAACAAAATGCAGAACAAGTGTAGTAATAGCTGGTTTTATATGATGGATAGTAAAACAAGTATAATACGTGAAGTGCTACAATTTGTGAAGGGGTCATTTTGTTTTTTTATTGCATACGTGTTGACATCCATCAACTTTATGTGATTCAGACATGACAGTAGAATCCATACTAGCAGTTTTTTTTCCATAAAGACTGTCCACGTTATACATTAAACGGTTAACTGTTTGGAAGTCACTACAGAGATTTCACATCAAAATTTAAGGTCAAATTAGCAGACCTGGAAATCTTTTTTTAAATAAGTTATTTTTGCCTAAAATGTGAAATTCTTTAATTCCCAACAATTTACAGATTAGAAAATAACTGCGTGTGTGTTTCAGCGGCAAATCATATTTAAGGGCAACTAGATATAAAATGATGGCTTCAATTTTTCTCTCTTTTTAACACACTGTTCATCATTTGAAGTCACACAGAAAGTAAAGGAACCAGTCTCACACCCTCCACCTCGATCAAGACCAATCGTGATTTTCTTTTGTTGCATGAGCATATTATAACGGAGTCTTGGGAGATTCATCATGGGTAATTTCACAAAGAAAAAAGAAAAAATAGTGGAATTTTATTTTGAAAATGACAACTGGTGAGGTGCAGATAATTTCAAGAAATGTCCTGATTAATTGGCCACCATGTTGTCCGAATCTCTCAGCTCCCAATTACTTTGTGTGTGGATATCTGAAGGAGAGGGTGTAAAAGAGCAAACCATGTACACTTGAGCAGCTCAAGGAGAACATTTGTGCAGGATTATTAACAATGCAATTGAAGGAGCCCGAATTTGCTAAGTGGCAAATGGAGCTCATATAAAAGATTTAATCTTCCGTACTCAGTCAAACAAACCTCCACACATTAAGCATTCATTGTATGTAATGCCATTAAAATTGGTTCATTAAAGGAACACTATAGTCACCTAAATTACTTTAGCTAAATAAAGCAGTTTTAGTGTATAGATCATTCCCCTGCAATTTCACTGCTCAATTCACTGTCATTTAGGAGTTAAATCACTTTGTTTCTGTTTATGCAGCCCTAGCCACACCTCCCCTGGCTATGATTGACAGAGCCTGCATGAAAAAAAAACTGGTTTCACTTTCAAACAGATGTAATTTACCTTAAATAATTGTATCTCAATCTCTAAATTGAACTTTAATCACATACAGGAGGCTCTTGCAGGGTCTAGCAAGCTATTAACATAGCAGGGGATAAGAAAATCTTAATTAAACAGAACTTGCAATAAAGAAAGCCTAAATAGGGCTCTCTTTACAGGAAGTGTTTAGGAAGGCTGTGCAAGTCACATGCAGGGAGGTGTGACTAGGGTTCATAAACTAAGGGAATTAACTCCTAAATGGCTGCAGGGGCATGTTCTATACACCAAAACTGCTTCATTAAGCTAAAGTTGTTTAAGGTGACTATAGTGTCCCTTTAATAACACACACACAAAACATTTTCTTTTAAAATTATTGACTCCTCAAACCATATTCTGAAACTTGCTCTACTTGTAACCTATTGAAACATTTGATTATCATCAAACTCCACTCATTCTGTGCTGCACATGGCAGATGTCAGTAGCTCTGGACTAGTAAGAGAACATATTTTTAAAGTAAGCACAATGTGATCTTGTGGTGAATTCTCAGTAGTACTAAAATTATTTTTTCTTTGGTGGTTTAGAAGCAGGGTGCATTTTCTTTCCAGGTCCCCATACACATAAAATATTACAAATAATTTTGGCATAGGTGACACATAACCATGGTTATGCTTGAAAATCTGAGTTGGATATGGCTGAAACCTGCCACAATGTTAGGGTACTTCACTAAATTTCATATATTTGAAGCCAGAATAGCCAAACTGAAACAGAAGAAGGTCAAAACAATCAACAGCACATTGTTACAAAAGAGCCAAAAGGCCCTTTTTCACAGAACCAGGAATTGAGGAGAGTTGGTGAGTAGATTTGCTAGGGTCTAAAATTTGCAAGTGGAAATATTAAACTATTTTTTCCAGCTCAGCTAAACGAACTTATAAGCAGCCTGGGTATGTCCATGGGATCCAAGCAGTGCTTTCATGGGATAACGTTAAGGTGACAGCAGACTTTGTTTGCAAAATACCCAAGAAATAAGAGTATAAGAGTATGTGTGTGCCTCTATGAATGAGAAATTGAATATGTATGTTGGTTTAAAGGTGAATTAGTTATGTGTTAGAACTTAAAATTTAGAGTATGTGTGGTGGCATTTGGTGCACACTGGGTGGGAGCAGCATTTTGTTCTTGGAACAAAACAGCAAAATATCTTGGGCCAGCTCAGAATAAGCCCCATTATGCTGCATACCTTAAGTGCATCAAAATGTCTCTTCCACCAGAATTGCCACACTCCCTTCATTTAAAGAACAAGTTGGTACAAGTGAAACCAAGATGATTACTCTTGTGCCGCAGAAAATCTTAAACCCCGTAATTCAGACTCACCCATTATTCAATTCGCAGGAACTCACTATGGTGTGTGGTCTCTGACCCATGTTAGCTGTAGAGCAAACACCATGTGAAGCCTAGAACACTAGTTCCCAACACAATCCTCAAGGCACTCCACAATTCAGTGTTTTGTGCATTGGAACGGAATTTGGAACTACCTCTATCCTGGACTTAGTTTGGAATCACTGGTATGTCCAGGCCTAGCTCTCTGAGAAAGACCACAATTCACCTGAAATTTCTCACAGCAAATGGGGGCTTAGTCAAAATTCCAGAATATAGTGATTCCATATTTTCTTACTATCCTGCAATTTAGCGTAAAGCTTGTAATAAAGCAGCTCTTTAGGGCTTAAATAAGCATGTAGTTTTGATCAGAAGCAAGAAGGATTTATTTGACTGATTAGTTGATTGTCCATTCAATGGAGAAGCAGCCAGAGAATGAAATACTGTATAGAGACTAAAGCTGGGATATTCAGTAGAGCCTGGGGAAGGGAAAAAATAGATCTTCACTTTAAAAGACATTTTATTTTTAAGAATTAGTGTACTTTACTTGGTGTCACATTTATAGATTGCACTAGGTTTTACACAGTTATGTTATAAAATGGTATTTACAGATTGTACACTGTTTTCACACTCCTGGGGACCATGAATGAAAAAAGCTGTGGTTCTTCAGATGCTGATGGACAAACTCCCATCACACCCAAATCCTAGACAGCAGTGGATGATGAGGCAAACAGAGAAGCCATTATATATATTCAATGGTCACAGTTTCACCTATTTAGACATTGCTAGCTTTTAAACAAAAAAAAAAAGTGAAATTATAATAGTATCTGTACATGAGATAGTTTTGAGAATACAGGTATTGAGCATCATAGTCCAGGCATCTGTTCACAATGGATTACGTATACTCGTTTCAGCTAATAAAGGTCATATATTCCAATTCTTATACATGAAGGACAGCGGTAAAAAAAATATTTATTGAGGAGGAAAACAAAAATCTCAATATTAATATACTGTAAAGCTTCCAAATTATGGTAAAATTATGTAGGTCAGCATTTTATTTACACCCAAGGCATATACGGTCTCTTCATAGGAAGCTAGTTATATCCATTGTCCCAATTTATGACTTTGTCATATTCCTGAATCCTTTGTTTAATATGTGAAAGTTTGTTCTTCAGGTAATCACAACGCTCCTTCTTCTCCAAAAATGTAGGGTCCTATAAAATAAGACGTAAAAGCCTTCACAACATATCACAAATACTTCAATATACACCTCAGAAAGCAGTGCTTCGATAAAAATGTAGATGGCATTGCTGAGAGAGCTACTGGCTGGCAAGATGGGCAATGGGCGGACAATTAGCGCCATTCAAATAAAAAAAAATGTTTTATACCATTCCACACGTAGACATAGGTAGCATTTGGAACATGACTCAGTACATCTTATTATGGCTTTTCATGCAGGGATTCTTTATCAAGGTTATTCACATACTGGGGAGTGTGGAGAACTTAAAGGGGAACTGCACTTTTTATGCCAATATAGCATAATTGGAAACTTTTTAAAACTTGGCTGTTTTGGTCTAAAAATGTGTATTTCTCTTGCCAATTCTCCATAAATCCTGGTTTAGAAGATAACCTCAAAAGGAGCTAGTGAACGCTGGAGAGGGTTGCGCAGTTTAACTTTTTAAAAGGGCACTCAAGCACCATAACCACTGCAGCATACCGTAGTGATTAAGGTGTTAGAATTTCTTTGGGGCAATCCCTAAATGAAGAGTCAAACAGTTTTAAAGGCATTTAATGCGGAAGGCTTTTGCTCTGTATGTTAAGAGGACTGAAATAGCTAAACAATGTGACTTAATACATAGCATGGCACCAGGGAACTCCAAGCACCAGTAATGGCAGCGCCCCCAGGACCACATCTCCCCTGTTTTTACTGATTAAACAAAACAAAAACATTTTACGTCTGTCATGATTCAGTCTAAAGTTTCCTTCCCATATACGTATTGATGGCTGGAGATACTACTGAGACGATGTCGGAATTTTCGGGTATTTTTGAAAGGAAAAAATGCCCTATTCTCTTGGACAAGATTAGGCTGCTCCAACAGGATTTTTTTACATTTACATTGGACATCAGGGAACGGAGTAAAATTCCAAGGGTCCAGTCTAGCGCTCCATCATATGTAAACTTCACCAGCCACCATTGCCTGGCACCGTACACGCTATAGCCTCTGTAGTGGTTATCGTGCTTAGAGTGTCCCTTTAAAATGAAGGAGGAGAGCCTAGCAGAGGAGCATAATCCTAAAGAAATGTATGTATATGGATCTCCAGCAATTAATTGGAGAGCTAATTAAAACTATTGTAGCGTCGGTCTATAATGCTCTGTTATACAAAACTGAATTGATTGGTAAGGAAAAAAAATATTTGTAGAATGACATTCTGCATAGCTGATAATGGTAATTGACAAAATGATAGATATATACAATAAATAGGTCAAGGTCAATAACAAATGCTGTGTAGAGATATGTGCATGCACAGTTAGGAACTGGCTGAAGGTAGAAACATCCAGCCGTATCTACAGGGAGGGAACAGCGATCTCTGACTCAGTTTGTAGGTCACATTCTGATAGTCTCATATTAATAGGATATGAAGCAATGAGATTTCTTGTTATAAGAAGATGCCACAAGTACTTTTAGCCAGACGTCACCAGATATGAAATGGAACTCACAGGATTCATTTTGTAGTGAAATAACTAAACTGCGTTACAAGGGGTATAATGCAATAAACAAAAAACACAGGCAATTGATACTTTTTAAATGTTTTGTGTGTGTAACTACATAGCCTTTGCAGGATCCACAGACCGGCAGCACAGCTGTTTACGTTTGAAATAAAGTACTTTCCAAGGAATACTATTACTGCATTTAAATATAGTCACCGTTCATAGAAGGAGGTAACCTGGGCGTCTCTGTCCCAGGGGGGTTTAACAGTAACAAAGGTAATGTCTTTTCGCTTGGGAACAAAAAAAAAAGGGAGGTTTCAAGTGAAACAAATAATGCTGTAATCTTTACAGGAAGGGCAGTGAAAGTTTAGAATTCACTTTTCTTTTTTAAATCGAATGATTTGGCTGATGCTAGAGAATCATTCCAAAGATAATGTTTGGATACATTTAGAAATTAAAAATATTTTTTTACTGTTTGAAAGGATGGATGACGGAATTCTGCCTGGAAATTGTATTTTCTATTTTTATCATTTATAAAAATGTTACATTTGAGAGAAAGAAAATAAATAAAGCAGGGACAGGTGAGGTTGACATCCATGTAGATGTCATGAAGTCTCTTTAGACTGTAAGTGTGTTTGAGCATAGCAATCACACCTGGTTACTGCCTGCCTAACAGGTTCAGTGCACAGTACTATAGAATGATAGACCTATATAAAATAATAGTAACACTACAAAAAGCTAATGCAGTGGTATGCCACTCACTACATGGCTTTCATATGGGAAAAATCCCAACAGTTCTGGTTGTGGTCAAAAGAAAAATTATGTTCATATGTGATGGGCCTGCCTTGAACTGACACCTCACTAAGGCCATATACAGTTATGTATAACATCCTATAAACATGACCAAACGTTTATTCTTACCCTACCTGCACTTGGTGACATTTGGAGTACAGATCAGATCCCACCCGCCCCCATTATTTTAAAAGTTCAATTAAGAATTACTTCTAACCTCTTGATGGATGAACTCACAGCTCTGGTTAATCCACAAACCCCTCCCTATTCCTTCTGAAGATTTGGCCACTATGTGGTTGTCACTGTTCCAGTATTCTGCAGGAATTCCTCTCCCCCATTACATTCTTACTGATTTGAGCTAAACTGACACATTGCACCCTTTTCACAGGATTCTGTACAGTTTCATTAGAAAAGTTACATGATGTGCCACAATGCGGTCTTTAAAATGAAGAATAAAAATTAACTAAAACGTATAGCTCAAGGGATAATCCAGTGCTAAACGTCTGCAACTCACTAGCTAGAACATTTTAACAGTTTCATCAATGTCATTTTTAACAAACATGTGGCCTGCAAAAGTTTTTTTTTTTTTTTTTTATTTGACGTGGGGATCAAGCATGATCCATGGGTGATTTTAAGAAATAAGGATGAATTAAATAAAATACATCACATCCCAGAATTTAAATAATTTGCACCTAGTAATAACATCCAGAGTTCCAAACAGGTTACATCTATTTTCCATTTTCTTGAAACTACTGCCCATGTCCCTCCCCACTCTCTCAGGCAGCTGTGTGTGTGTGTGTGTAGAGTTCAATAAAATCCTGTGTCCAAGACAAAAACAAAATGACCCCCTGCAGAGGGGACAGGAATGTGATTAGCAGCTCAAAGGCGTTACAGGAAACAAATTATACTTACATTCTTTTTCTTCTGATACTCCTGAAGAACTTTTGAAATTCTCTCATATTCCTGAGGAAGAAAGGATTCAAAGAAGTGTTTATGATTTCAGGGGAAAAAGAGGTCACTTTGCATAAAACGTTAAAAACTTCAGTAACCGTTAAACATCCCAAAGCAAACCTAAGCCAAATGTACACAAAGTTCCACGAGGACACTATCCAGGAGATCACTGAATGAAAATTGCAGGAATTGGGGAACTCATGAAAGCAGGCATGGAATTTAGTAGGAAACCTCTCAGGTTTCACATTAGCGAGGGACCAGGGAGATTTTCGTCTCCCAGATGCTCATGTTTGGTGAAATCCTTACAAGCTGCCATCTTGGCCATTTATATGGAAATATGTGTTGTCACTTCCAAATAGTAAACTTAATATTTTTTTTTTCTTTTTCTTTCTTTTTTTTTTTTTTTAAAAGGTTCTGATTTTTTTTCTTTTTTAATTCTCAATGTTTTTTTTTTATATTTTAAATGTTAAACCATTTACGTAGGAACTACAACAAATCCAATTAGATTGAATGGTTATAGTGTACACAGTGTCCCTTTAAAGGAGCACTATAGGGTCAAGAACACAAAGATTAGGTGACTTGCCCCCCGCCCCCCTTCACCCCTTTAAAGACGTATCTTATTTCCATAGGAAGACGTACCTTATTTCCAGCGCCGCGCAGATCTGCTGGCACCAGCTCCACCCACGATCCACCTCCTTGCTGACATCAAAATTTATTTTTTAGCCAATCCAATGCTTTGGATTGGCTGAAATCGACAAGGAGGCGGGATGGGGGTGAGGCCAAATGCCGGCTTGGACAATCAGGACCTCCGTATAGAGCTGCATTGAATCAATGCATCTCTATGAGGAAACTTCAGAGTCTCCGCTGAACACCTGAAGAGTGGCCACTGGAGGTGTCCCTAGGGGCCAATGTTAGCACTGCCTTTTCTCAGTGTTTGCATTAAAATGTGTGACAGGAATGATAAATGAAGCTGTAGTTGTTCTGGTGACTATAGTGTCCTTTCAAAGTTCAATTAAGATCTTTTTGAAAATTAAAAAAAAAACTTTTTTATATGAAGGCTATTTTAGTCACAGCCAGGGGAGGTGTGGCTACGGCTGTATAATCTATAGTAAAGTTGTGATAGGCGGCTTACTTGCCCTGTATGCAGAAATACTGTGGAGGTAAGTATGCATTTCTGTTTCAGATTTGTATTTTTCTTCCTAAACAATTAAATCGTGTTCACTAGGAAAAGGAATTAGGAACTGACAGCTCTGCTTTGAAAGCCCATGAACAAGATTATCTCCTCCACCTCTAGATACAGTATGTCTCATTATATATCCATATGTCTGCAACCTTACCTGTGACGACTACATTCTGTAAGAGCACTGTATAAGAAGTGCTAAATACATTCTAAACAATTAATCGTGAAGAATTAAGAATATTGATAAATCCTGGTGGCCCGATATACCAGGAACATTAAGAAATGAACACTTACATGCTGATTTTCTGGATTTCTGGGAAGTTTATTCATCACCGCATCAAGATCACTGAACTTTTTTAAGACCGCTTGCACCTCAGCAGAAAGCTCCTTGTATTCTGAGAACTGATCATTGAACACAGCTTTATACCGATCACGTTCGTCATCAGATCGGATTGCCTGGTATTTTCTGCATCGAGAAAACGAAATTAGAGAATACACTTAATGATGGTCACTGTGGGTGTATGTCAGTCTCTGTAAATTTCAGTTCAATTGGAATAGAAATTCTGCCAATTATCGATGTGTACATAGTTAGCACTGTGTTTGGGACTGTTAATACAGTAAGGGCTAGAGGAACCACAAGAGGGATTAGGGATTTAAACACAGAGTGGACAACAAAATGGGCAGAGGGCAAAAGAGTACCATAAGCAACATAGAAGAACACCAAAAAAACAAACCAAATAAATTAAATGAAGAGCTCAAGAAAGGGGGCAGGGGAGGAGAAAAATGTTTTATGGCCAAGAGTGGACCTGAAGTAAATGAGGTCCATAATGTCTTAACTATCCCTCATCAGTCCCTCTCGAGTGAATGTTCATTACACACACTGATCTGACATCCATTCTTTTTAATGACTATAAATAAAACAGCATTTTGCTAGAATGTTAAACTAAACAATAGAATAGTTTAATGAATCCTTAATCAATATGTGCTGCATTGTGCAATATGTTGGCACTTAAATTATAATATAATCCATTAACGTCCTTTGATCATAAATAGGAGTCATGAATCACAAGGAGAGAAGTCATTAGCACCATGTATAAGCAAACAGTTACATAGTATAAAGGTTGTATTTCCTTTTACGTTAATCAGAATTGGAGCATAGGTCTCCAATATTAGCATGCTGGCATTATAACAAAGCAGTTGGGGGACAATTAACTCCAACAGGTCATTCGATAATGAGTAAATTGTAGGGAACAAACGCAAAATTCTAAACTTTCAGGCCAAAAATTAATACAAATTGGAAAATCGCCCAAGCTAGTTATGACTTCAGTGTTGCTACCTTGACCTAAATTTGAAAATTTACTTTGGATTCTCAACAATTCACACTTTAATAAATAACTCTGCATGACCAGGTTTTTTTAAGTAAGTTAGGGTATCGAGAATAGTGAGGGAAAAGTTTAGGAAACCAAAGAATTACCAAACTGATGCGAGAGCTCAAAGTTTTATGAATGCTATATGGTTCATCAGCTGAAAAGAGGGTCAAACTAAGTAAGTAGGCCGCACTCCTGAGACACAAAAAACAGCCGCCATATTTCAGTAAGGACACTGACACCTTCTTACCTATGCTTAGGCACTGATTTTAGTTTGTCTGTTCAATAATAATTATTTTGTATATATTCTGATCCTTACGGCAGCACCACTACTTAGAAATGAATGTTCCAGGTGCATGTTCCCAATTCAGCTTTGTCTGTGTACAGCATCAATGTCAGCAGGAAAGACACTGTGAATTTTCTTTCTTTCTTTTAAAATACTTCAACACCCAGGTTGGCCATAAAGATAGAACACTTAAGGATGGCAAAGCAACATGGAAATGATCTACATAGTTAAATAGCTGAAAAGAGACTTGTGCACATCAAGTTCAGCCTTCCTCACATTTGTTTTTTGCTGTTGATCCAAAAGGCGGCAAAAAAAACCCAGTTTGAAGCACAATTTTGCAACAAGCTAGGAAAAAAATTCCTTCTTGACCCCAGAATGGCAGTCAGATTTATCCTTGGATAATCCTACAATAACGTTAAGCTTCCGCCAGTCAACAGGTACATTGTTACAGTCATATGTCTGATGGTAGGTGATATTATTCATGACTGTCAAAAGCAATGGAAGAGGGAACCGATTAACTTTAACAACTGAAATTAAAATGATACTCACGCCACGTAGTCAGGCATTACAATAGGCTTTGGTATATGACCAGCAGGAATGTATCCATTAAGAAGTTCCGGTTTCACCTCAAGCACTTTTAATTTTCTTTGTTGGTCAGGAACATTCTGTGGGTGGTCATAACCTAAGGCAACATCGCGCTGGGGAAATAAAAAAATAAAGACATTTACATTACTATATTATTACATTACTATATTCCAGAAACTGGTTACAGACAGGGCAATTTGTACCCCCTGGAGGACGTTGTTAGAACAGTTCAGCTAACAGAGGAAAAATGTCCTGGATATAATGGAGCCATTGATCTTTGGGCAATACTTTGACATTTTTCCTGTTACTAGCTATATTATTACGGTTTTTCTTAGACATAATAAAAATGCAAAATAGATACTAAATACCTGATCCTTATCTAACCAACAACTGTGGTAAGGAGTCGGAGATAAAAATTTATATATGCAATATAATGAATATATGCAATTTGCTAGAATACACTTTACTGTAATATCTATAATATGAACACATGTTCCTTTTTTGGCTGTTAACCAGGAACATTTCCTGACTATTAGAGTATTACATTTTCCTACCTCTTCATTATCTGTTTCTTTAAATTGTGATTACAGTATGTTAGAACATCTACGGTCAGTTTCTGATCTAAAAGAAAGTATGCTTGCAGCCTTAAGGTAGAAACACCTTAAATTATTTCCCATCTTGATACTATAACACCTTTATGGTTTTATGGGAGCTAATTAAGAAAAGCTAATGTATAGAGAAGGCTGTGGGGGGTGAGGATTCATTAAAAATTGCTTTATTTTTGTGCAGATTATCTGAATGTCACACATTTTTTTTTGCTTGTACACCACTGTGCTTACTATTGCGGCGGTGGCAAATGAGCGTATATGTATTTTCAATGCACAACAAAAATAAAGAATTATTAAAAAAAAGTTGCTTTATTACCGTTAAAGGAACACTAAAGTAACCAGAGCCAATACAGCCTAATGTAGTTCTGGTGTCTATAGCCTGTCACTGCAGTGTTAGCATTTAAAGAAAAGCCTTGCTGACTAATAAAACCTCTAGTGGCAATCCCTCAGACGGCCACAAAGTGCTTCCTGTCTTAGTGTGATTCAATGCATCTGTATGAGGAGATGCTGGTTTCACTATGGGAAGGCACTGGATTGGATGAGATCATAAAAACGCATAATCTCCAGCCGCCGCAATATGCGGTGTGGAAGACAAGGGGAAGAAAATCACCTTCAATCTCCGGCAAGAGGGGGGCCAGGTACCAAGTTCTGCATTTCAGCGACTTTGCGTAGCGTGAGGACATCCGATTTCACCCAAAACCCCATAGAAAAGCATTGTATAATGCTTTCCTATGGTGAATTCCTAATGTTTTCCTGGCACTATAGTCTACATTTAATGACCATGATCATTATGATCAATGATTTTTATCTTAATGCTTCTTCTCTATGTAATTACAGAAATATGCAAAGCATTACTCCTTTCATTATACAGATACATAAATGGAGCAGATAGATTAGTACATACCAGAACGATGATGACTGGATTCCTTACAATGAATGGCAACTGTATTGGTTTATTTAATTACTAAAATGTCATTCCAATGCTACACGTGGCCAGATTCTTTAACACAGTGACCTTAAAGGGACACTATAGTCACCTGAACAACTTCAGCTTAATGAGGTTGTTCAGGTGAGAACTGTAGCTCCCTGCAGCCTTTTTTCATGTAAACACTGTATTTTTTGAGAAAATACAGTGTTTACATTTAAAGCTAGGAACACCTCCAGTTGCAGTCACTCACAGTGAACCAGAGGGACTTCCGAGTTGATGGAGTCATAAAACTCCTCAATCCACTCAGATCTGCTATCAGCAGAGCACAGGGCAGCTCTGTGTCTCCTCCCTCTGCATGCAGAAACTGAACTTTCCTCATAGAGATTCATTGATTCCATTCATCTCTATGAGGAGATGCTGATTGGCTGTGTTTGAATCATGCTGGCTCTGCCCCTGATCTGCCTCCTTGTCAGTCTCAGCCAATCCTATGGGGAAGCATTGTGATTGGATCAGGCCACCACTTCTGATGATGTCAGCAGACTGTTGTGTTTTAGGCAACCAACATGCAGATTTACAGCTTCTGGCTTGAATACAGTAAGATTGTTACTATATTTATGGAGGCATGAGGGGCCGAGGGGGGCTAAATGGTGGTGTTAACACTATAGGGTCAGGAATACATGAAGTTGCACTGGTGACTATAGTGTCCCTTTAAAACACCAAAATTGGAAATTTGCTTAAAAATAGCACTGTGTCACATTTCTCAGTAACCCCCTCATTGACATCTCTATATTCTTATTTCTAGGATCAAAGCAGGCACGGAGAAAATAATAAAAAGCCTAAAATATCATTTACAAAGCGGATGTCCAAAATTGATCTGAATCGAGAAGATGTAGTCAGATACATCAACACTGCAACAATAACAGGTATACAGTAAACGTACCTGAATTAAAAAAAAAAAAAAAAAAATACCATCGATGTCAATAGCAGGGAGTCGATAAAATATATAACTAACAGAAAATAAATAAAACTGCCCAGGCATTTCCACTGATCTAAAAGGAAAGCAACACTTTTCAACCCTAAACAGTTCACAGCTATTAACTACATTGGAAAGCACATATAAATGAATTAGTATTATACACATTAACACAGACCCTTTAGTAAACTCCAATAGATGATTTAGCATGGATCACTCATTAGGTTGTTTTTTTTTCTCTAAAACAGCTTCCTCCCCTTTAATATCTAGCATCACTCTATACTGCCCCAAATTGTATTTGACTCTCTGAAATATTTTACAGCCTAATCAGACACATCTATGAAATTAAAATCAAATCCTCCGTGAACAGCAGCACCTCCTTCAATGTTATGGAGACCACGCTGGACAGCGAGAAGAGTCTACTCCAAGCATTTCATAATTGTTCTATAAAATTTATTTACACAACCTTCACAAAATAAGTCAGTGAGTTGATTTTATTTTTTCCCTGATGTGATGCATACTAGGCAGCACCTCTACTAGCCATCTGAGGAGTGACCAGTGGAGGTATCCCTAGGCTGTAATGTAAACATTGCATTTTCTCTGATAAGACAGTATGTACTGCAAAAAGTTTGAAGGGAATGATTATACTCACCTGAACAAATACAATAAGCTGAAGTTGTTCTGGTGAATATAGTGTCCCTTTAAGCAGGAGTCATCATGTTAATGTAATGTGGATTCCAGTTAAAAAAAAAAGGGGGGGTACAGAACCACTGATTGGCATGGAATAGATTTTTGCTGTAAAATTAATTATACTTGTTTTATTAAAGTCTCCTTTATATAACTAGGCCATATAAAAAGCAATTATTATATTATTATTCTACACTGAGATGTAAAAGCAACAAATGCTGAAATAAGTTTAAAAAATAGCTAAGGGCCACATATAATGACAAGTTAGTACTGGTATGTTTCCCATTCCACGGAGCAAGTCACAGCTGGAATCTGCTGATTACTCTGCTGGTGTAAACCGCGACTTAAAAAGAAAATATCACAAGCAATAAAAGCAAAAACAAACAAAATCTACCAGTACATAAACAAGAACGATGCACCACATGCAGGACGAAAGAGAGATTTTAGTTAATTTTTTTGTAAAATTCTGTACATTTTCACCCACAATGACCCATTCCAGACTTTAGTTATGAAACAGGATAAGTAATGAATAGACTAACACTATTTTTTAATCTTTTCCATTCTCAAACATTGTTACCAGGCAATCCCATTCCAAAACAATAGTTAGAAAGCGGAGCTAGCTGCCTGTATTAGAATGGTTACTGCTGAGGTTCAATATAGTCATGGATGCTCTGACAACTACTAGTTTGGGAATAGAGACAGATGTCCTAGATTGTAAACACGTTTGAGCAGCGCCCTCTTTGTTTATTTAAATATTATTTTAAGGAGATAGGGATATATACATACTTGATTCAACGTTGTAAAGGCAGCCGCCTGGAGCCTGGGACAAATAGGGGCTCAGTGGGCCATTGTCTGTGCCTGGAGCACTGGCTCTGTCCATGAGGAGGACCATGCTGAGGTCAACAAAGGAGATCAAAGGGCGCCCAAGGCTCACTGACGTTTGTGGGGCATCAGGGTCATGGGTGCCCAAGGCTCACTAATGCATGTGCGGAGCCGGCGTCAGGGTCACGGGTGCCCAAGGCTCACTGATGCATGTGCGGAGCCGGCGTCAGGGTCATGGGTGCCCAAGGCTCACTGATGCATGGGCGGAGCCGGCGTCAGGGTCATGGGTGCCCAAGGCTCACTGATGCATGGGCGGAGCCGGCGTCAGGGTCATGGGTGCCCAAGGCTCACTGACGTATGTGGGGAGTGAAGGCTAGTCTATATGGTCCGATCACACAGGCTGAAAGCCTAATACTGGCCATCATAGAAATGTGTTCGATCGAGATCAGTGAACGGCTCCAAACTCCCGAACGGCAATACACGAACTGCTGGTAACCGTCGAACAGCAATATTCCCCAAGCGGCTTTCGTTCCATCCAGCAGTCTCTAAACGTGAAGAAGAAAGCCCCCCCAATAACGAGACAGAAGCTCCGCATTGAGAGTCAAACAGAATCTGGCTTTACTGTGGGCTACCTGCCCGTATTTATGCAGGTCTCCCACTTGGTGGACACTCCCCTAGGGGACCAAATGGGGGACTTAAATTACAGACAGATCTGGGGACATCCCAGACACACAGTCACAGATTTTACCCACAGTGCATTATGATTCCCTCCCCTCTGCCCTGGAGTTAATTACCAAGTAACTCAATTAACTCCAGGACAAAGCCAGTCGCCATCTTAGACATAAAATAATAAAAGACATAAAAATATATAACTACATAAAAACTGAACATTTCCCATTCGTATTACATGTCCCCAGATAGCCTGGATCTGAGTGCATATTATTAGCGAATAGCGCTCAGATCCCACACACATAGTTCAATCGCCATGGAGTCAAAGTTCTTACAGTCTTTCGGTATACGAATGACTCCATGGGAAGGCTATCTGGGTTAAGTCTTTTCGTATGCTCTCAATCTCCCGAACGGCCGGTGTTCGCATGCTTTCGTGGAGGCAGCCAGGCGTTCCGTTGTTTCAGCGGTGTTCGGCAGAAAAAGTGTCAGTTTTCAGTTCCATAGAAATAGAGCCAAACACCGCTGGGCGTTCGCTTGATTTAAAATGGCCGCTGCCTCGTGGTCGACATACGAACGGCGACCACCCTGAATTCGGTTTAATTGAGAAGTGTCTGCGGTTAACCACAACGTTCTAATTGGGATCACTTCGTTAACCAGCAGCACACTCCTCACTTGGGTGGCCGTTCGTTCGGCAGGTTTGTTCGGGAAGAAGAGTCATTCGAATGGCTGGGCTATAGAAACCAGCCATTCATACGAACGGGGGACAAACAGACGAACGTAGTAAAAATCCAAGCAGACAGATGGTTCTGTCACACTAGCGGTCTTTATTTTCCCAAATCTAACAAGTCCTGCCAATTCATAGTTTATTTATTACTTTAAACAATTAAAGGACCACTCTAGGCAACCAGACCACTTCAGCTTAATGAGGTGGTCTGGGTGCCAGGTCCAGCTAGGGTTAACCCATTTTTTTATAAACATAGCAGTTTCAGAGAAACTGCTATGTTTATGAATGGGTTAAGCCTTCCCCCCATTCCCTCTAGCGGCGGTCTCATTGACAGCCGCTTGCGTGCTTCTCACTGTGATTTTCACAGTGAGAGCACGCAAGCGTCCATAGGAAAGCATTGATAATGCTTTCCTATGCGACTGGCTGAATGCGCGCGCAGCTCTTGCCGCGCGTGCGCATTCAGCCCAGGAGGAGGATCGGAGGAGGAGAGCTCCCCGCCCAGCGCTGGAAAATGGTAAGTTTTACCCCTTTCCCCTTTCCAGAGCCGGGCGGGTGGGGGACCCTGAGGGTGGGGGCACCCTCAGGGCACTATAGTGCCAGGAAAACGAGTATGTTTTACTGGCACTATAGTGGTCCTTTAAGAACATTTCTTTTTTATATGTATAATTTTTTTATACTATATTTTTTTGTACTGTATTCAAAAAATTGTGCAAGATCTATCCTTCGATCCCCAAATATCATGCTTCAATCTAACATGTCTAAAATATCCAACTGCATTTAAAAAAAACAGAATCACTGGTAATGTGCTTTTCTTGGATTTAAGACAACGCTGGTGCAGAATATGAAACTGTTACTACAATGGTTATCCAATTATTTTTTTTACAGCTTGTTTTTCATTAAAAAGATTGTAATTACACATGCCACCTAGGGTGGTAGCTGTGAAGTACTATGGTTTACAAATCCTCTATCCCACTCTGCTTTTCTATGATAAATATCGCACAAAATACAATGGGATCATAAGTCACTGGATGGAATTCAGATTCAGGAGACAAGCTTCCTATATGAGACCAAGTATCCACTTTGTTTTAATTTGTTACACAGAATAGGTGAATGAATGCAACACTGCACAACAATTATGGTCGAAGGGTGATTTTGATGTTGATGTGATCTTTTGTTAGGGAGCATATATATATATATATGTGACATGTAGTTGGTTTGTGCAGTTGGGCATCAGTGTACTAGATTGGCAGTGGGGTGCATTGTCTCTGTCTCTTTAACCCTGCAATGGTAATTATTGCAGTTTCTTGCAGGGATAAGACTGCCTCTTGTGGCTGTCAGACAGCCACAACAGGCACTTCCTAATGGTTAGGTGACTTTTGGTCATGTACAGCATCAGTCAATTCCCACTAAGAAAGCATTGCAGTAGTACATTCCTATGGGGAAGGCCTAATCAGCTTGCAGCATTTGCTGCTCATGTGCATTAGCGCTAGATTCTGGCAAGTACAAGGCATTTTAACAATTACTATGCCGGGGGCAGCGCAATTGATCTATGGTGCCTACTCATCTCTTTAATGAGTATCAGATCAGATACAATACAACAATAAAATAATGCTGCGATAAAAATATGTTACTTACCGTGACTTTTGGTGGATAGCTCTGAGGATTATTCTGAGAATTCATCTATCAAATAAAAAACAGATTTGTCAAGCAATCATCCAAGTCACATGTAGCCATAATGAAAAGAGCATTAACATCCTGTGTGTATAAACCTTAAAATTAGGATGTGCTTTTTATCAGAAGAAGATTAATGCATTTACATTTTAGGCAACATACAGATCACCTTGCTTATTTTTCTTTTGGGAGCCAGTGAAATATCACATTTTTATAAGGGCACCCACTATGTAAAAAAAAAACAAAAAAAATAACCTGTTTTTGTGATAAACAAAGAAAAACGAATTAAAAAACAAAAAAACAAAAACAAAAAAAACCACACACACACAAAATACACTTAACAACAATAAACAACTAAAATCATGGCCCGAAAAGAAGTCAATTGGAAAATGCAGTTATCTACATGTAAATCCACTGGGACAATGTATATGTATTGTATGAAAGGAATAATGGAGATGAGGATTTTTTAAGGCAAGAAAATCTGTTATTCTGGGGCAACATGCTAAATTAGGACCAATCACCATGGAAACCAATAGAATATCTCAAAGCATTTAGAGCTCTGCCATAGAATAGAACTTGCTCTGCTTTGATAAATCTCCTTTTTAGTGTTATATGTTCGTAGGTGGAATATTTCAAGGTAGTGAACACATAATATTCTATAACTCTCTGGGATTATATTGAGATTAATTTGACATCACTGAGTCCTTCAGTTAACCAAGTTGCATATAACAATTCAGCTAATCTGTGAATGGTATGCTAATGAATAAACAATAACAGCCATGTTCAGTATTGTGCCAAAAAAAAAAACAAAAACAAAAAAAAAAACAGTTTCTTACTGACTGAAGTTCTGCATGAAGGAATAAGGCAGAAAGAAACCGTCAAGGGAACTTCCGGGCACCATAACTCCAAAATGGAAAAAAATAAGTAGTTATGGTGCCAGGAAGTCCCTGGCATCTGCTTACCTTTAGTGGTTAAACAGTTATCTAACAGTTTAGCCCCAAAGTGTTGTATCTAGCGCAAGTTACATCTGGCCCTCTCCTTTGCGTTTTTTCCCTATTCTTGATTCAGAAAGCCTTGGATGGGGCACCACTGATTCATTTAATTTAGAGAGTCTGCTAACGCTCTCAGTCAATCAGTAGCTCTCCATTCACAAAACAGCTTGAGAAAAAGTACATATTTTACTCAAGTCATTTTGTGAATGGAAGCTACTGATTGACTGAGAGGTTTTGATGCTCTAAAACAGGGGTGCCTAAAATGTAGATTCCCATATGTTTTAAAAATACAGTTTCCATGGTGCTTTGTCATTCTAAAGGAATTCTAAAAGCATCTTGGAAGTTGTAGTACTACAACATCTGGGGAGCTACCCTTTTGGGCACCCCTGTTCTAAACCAATCGACGGTGTCACTGTCCAAGGCTTACTGATTCAAGCCTCAAACTAAAGAGTAAGAACAGGGGCAGATTAACAGGTGCTGGATACAATTCGTTGAGGTTAAACCAATACCGATATGCCAGGAAACAGGTGGAAATTCTTCAATAATAAGATCCCTGTAGCGGATGGCATGTGACTGTCCGCCAGAATTATATTTTAAAAGACTGTTCGCATGTTTAAACTGCCTGTACATTGAAAATTGCATATACATTCGTATGTTAGTTCGGTAGTTTCCTTCATAGTTTATACGAATGGAAACTACCGAATGCATAGACCACCTTAGAGAAGAAGTGTGTCCCTAGTTAAACCCTTATTCCCTCTCTAACCGCAGTTAATTGATGTTGTATTGCTGTATCTGGGTGGCCGCCATTCGGTAGACTAACACGCGGCAGCGGGCATCTTACGCACGAACTCTCAGCGGTGTTTTGTCGTCGAGTGTCTGGAACTCAAATCGGACACTCAATTGCGCGAACACCGCTGAGTCCTCCAGAGCTCCAGAACTCACGAACAGAGGGGCTATTCGACTCCTCGTTCGGTGAGTTCCATATACCAAACAAGGGGGTTCGTGCGAACCTGGTATTATCTATGGATGGCAAGGATTTCTACCTGTTTTACCTCCCGAACGCAGACCGACCGCAGGGCCAAAATACATGGAACTCCTTTCGGCTACATAGTCGTGTGCGGTCGGTCAAATCGTTTATTCCCTATAACTCCTGAACCCCTAGTCTGATCTGGGTGAATTTTGAGTATGTTGGTCACCCAGACCAGGGCTACCAGGGGATGCCACTTAAGTCCTGGTACCCCACGGTTTTGGGGTACATCCAAGAAACAGGGGGAAAAGGTACCAGGATTAAGTGGATTAAGTGTCACACTGAAGGGAGGGAAAGTAGGGGAGGGAACCTCTGTATTATTGGTTACTGCTATAATGACTGTAAATCCCTCCCTTGCATGGGAGAATCCTTTATAAGGAACTGCTGTGAATAAATCTTTAGTTCTGCTCCTGATGCTGTGTGTCGTCCAGTCATTGGGATTGCGATTAGGATATTGTTGGACTCTTTTTGCCTGCTGGGATTATTACTCTGTGGATTTATTATACTTGTTCCTGAGCCTTACTGGGATCCAAAGTGGAGATAGGCTGTGTAATACCAGCTCTCCGCTACAATCCCAACCACATTGGAAATGTCCCAAATGGTGACCACATCGGTACCTGGTGAGGAGCTGTTCTCCTTTTTGGTCAGCTTTTGCATAATTGTCACTCGTTTCATCCTCTTCGTTATCCGTTACATTTATACATTTGTCAATATATAAATTTTAAAGCACACACAGTGCTACATACATTTTAAAAAGGTTTTGTCCGTTGTTTAATTGTTTTGTTTTTTTCTGTCCTTTGTTCAGAAACTTAAAAAGTCATTATGGCTTCTTTGTTGCGAGTTGCAACAAAGAAGCCATAATGACTTTTTTGTTAAAAAAAACAAAACAACTTTAATGAAAATATTACAACAAAGATTTTTATACCGTTACAGTCTTACCTCATGCCCTATGAACTCTCGTCTCTTTCTGGCCTCTTCATGCCTCCAGAGCTTCAAAGAAATTACTCCACCAATGAGATAAACAAGCATTATGACAAACAGAAATATGATAGCTGCAGTCTGCCCTCCTTCCACGCGGCAGAATGATGCATTCATAGGGGTATTGAATAACTGGTAATAGCATAGTCCCCCGCGGTTAGTGTCATTAACATAGACAATAGCTGCAGCCATGTAAAGAATAAAAAGACAAATGTTTATTCCAAACTCTGTTAGGGGCCACCAACCGGAATCTAGGAGGATAGTCCGGTAATACATGGACATACCGAGTACAAGAACAATAATTGTCACTACCCAGGCCACACCAGCCACCACTAAAATAAAAGGAGTCTTTGGCCCACTGTAATAGTATCCTCCTTGCATACTTGCAGTGTAGCCATATGGCTGAGAGTAGCCAAACATATTATACCATTCATTGTCTTTGTGGATATATGCGGTAACACATGCAAAAACACCAGCTCCAAGCAAAAGTTCCACTACGCCCAAGATCCTAAGCAAGCCGGGCCAGGATTTCATGTAGGAATATCTCAAGTTATATTCTTCTACTTTTTCACTGTAGGTCTTCACAGTATGGTGGGTCTGGCACTCCAGAGAATCATATGGGTCATGAGGAAGTATGGCTTCACCTTCTCTCTTTGAGTTGTAGCTTCCTCCACCTGAACCTCCGTAAGGGTCTTTGTAGGAACTACCTGCAGCTTTCGAATCTGCTGCTGAGCCTCTGCCGTATGTTTGTGAGGCAGGCAGAGATGGAGATCGTGGTGGTGAACATTCTGCTCCACCTGAAATGTAGTTAAGTTCTGATGCAGGTTCTGCCCATTGATTTTCTTTTTTCCCTTTAAAAAAGTTTTTCCAGGAACTTGGAATAAATCTTCTTACAGGTCTAAATTCAAGAGCAGTCACTGGATCTTCACTATCACTTGGATAAAACTCAGGGCCAAAAGGGGGAGCAAGAGGAAGAGGAGGTGGAGGTAATGGATCTGAACTGAGAGCCAACTCACACTCCTGTAAGCTGTGAAGATTCTCCTGTGGGAGATGTGAGTCTATAGGTACCTCATCATAATGGGCTGCTCGCCCATTTCCCCGTCCATTTGCATTTCTGCCCTTAGATCTTGTTGTTGAAGAGCCTCCGCCAGACATTTGTGAGTGATTGCTAAATTAAAAAGAATAACATCATTACAATGATGCATACAACAGTAGAAAAATTCATAAGAAAAAAAAAAGAACATAATAAATTGTTACATAAAAATAGGACACCTGAATACCGTGAACATTTCAAAGCAAAGTTTGACCACTATTTGAAGAATATAGGAACAAACCTGAAATTTTCAAAGAGGTCTATGTATTTAACACAATGAGCAAACAGTTCCAGTTATAGGAGACAATGCTTCCTACTTGATTTCTGGCCTAGCCTCATGAGGGACTATGTTTATATATTATATACCATGGCACTGTTTAGGTTTTAATTTTGAATTGTAGCTTGATAGACAAGCCTTCTGTAATTTTTGGAGTATTACTTTCCTACCCTTTACGTCTGTTACTGACATTTGATAGGTCTACAGTGTTTTTTTTAAACAACCCAATTACCATCATTGCTTTCTTTTTTTCTATAATCCCTTCATAACAGAATTTTCAGAGCAATTACAATAAAAAGGTCATAATATATAAAAATATATCCTCCTTGCTTATAGTTAATGATCCTTTTAATTATATTTTGCGTCAGATGTACAAAAGTGCTCTTTGTGAGATCAAGCCATGACATCTGAATCACATCTTTGGACAACTCCTGGCGTGAGCATTCTACACTTATTAAAGAATTGGCCATTATCATACTTACGTGAAACTACAAAAAGCACAAATGGATGGAGATCTAAGACTACACTTTTATCTTTCTAAACAAGATGACAAAGACACACTATAATAAGATGCTGAATTGCCTTCCTCCATCAATTACCCCTAGTTTTATGTCTCTGGTGTATTAGGGTTTGGCTAACCAATTATATCGTTTTAAAAGATAATTGACATATCCTATTAAAAAAAAAAAAAAAAAAATACCTAGGTAAACCGTCAAATCATAGCATGGCCATAACAAGTCACAATCAGGCTTAATAAAATGGCACAATGTTCTTGCGCATAACTAATTGCTACCAACAAACTCCATTAATTACTATGAGTAGCCTCATTCCAGGAAATGCTCCATGCAAAATACACATTTTGCATATTTGTTTTCCAATAAAACATTTCTAAGAATGGACAGACATTCTAAATGCATCGAGAAAGGGTTGGATCTACTTCACTGTTTACCGGAATGTTTATATGCAGCCTTATCTGACTGGTATCTTTACATTTAACCCCAAAAAGCACTCCTAATTTATTTAGAAAATCCTAGCTTCAACAAATAGATTCATCAGTAACACGCTGTCACACAGTACTGTTAAACTTAAAAACAAATAGTATATTTCAAATAAATTGACAGAAGCTTTCATTGATAAGGAAAAATAAAAAAGGGAGGAGTTACTGAAAGTGCCAATTTCTTATGAAATTTGCAATTTATAAAAAGAGCCTACAGAGGCAGAGATAACCCATAAAGAACTTAATTATTTTCTACCAATGGTGTGCGGTAGCAAGTTAATTACACTACACAACATTTGGAAATAGAATTTCATCCTCGATTTACTAAAGTGTGAATTACCCTGACTTTCAAAGTGAATATAATTTTAAGGCCAAAAACAGGTAAATTGGAAAATCCCCCAAGACAGCTATGTTTCCAGCAGGTTTATTTTGGCCCATAATTTCGAACGCACTTTGAATTCTCGGCAATCCACACATAGAAAAAACAAAACAAAACAAAAAAAAACATTAAAATTAGGTCTATGTTCATCAATTGTATTTGCTCAAAATGAAGATAAACAGGACTGAATGGAGTGCTTTAAGAATTGCCTTCATTTAAATCCTCTAGTAACATAGAATTCTCTCAAACATACATATTTAACCCTCCTACACATTCTGTCAACATCGCTTATAATTAAACAAGTATGACATTCCATTTTGGAATGTGATCCTCAAAATCTTACACTGTTTAGGACAGCGAATGCTGTCAGAGGTCTTTAACGTTTTAGATTTAGTTTTACGAAGATTCAGAATATTCTGCAGCACTCTACAACAGAAAATACAAGCGAGACAATACTAGACAGGTGGTATCTGATTGTTAGCACATTATGTTATGCTGGATATAAGGTAGAGCAATAATGTCAAGAATACAGCCAATAGAAGCTGTCCCGCAGCTATAGCTCAAATGGCTTTCATTAAGAGAGTTTGATTGATACAGCGTGGCTAATGCTTCCCTATGGCAGGGATCCAGCACAGAGACCAGCACCAGGGCACCATTTACATTTCTATTCCTAACACTATAACGTCCCTTATTTGAAGTTCATCCACTGGCAGCAATCCACAATGACTTGAAATTAACATCAAAAACTTTGATTCTTTCAAGAAGGATTTCTGTCACACAGCGATTAAATGTAAAAATACTAAATAATTGCTGTAATTCCCTTTCACCACCTTTCAAATTAACTCAGTGTCCCCATTAGGACAAGTCATTACGCCCTGAACAGCATGGGCTTTAATGTCATTAGGGCGTAATAACACGTCCTAACTCAGACTGCTATACTCTTTCAAAGGTGACAGAGGCCCAGAAAAGGTCCAGGTATTAAGACAGAAATGGACAAGTCCTACATTTCACCCTCTAACCTTCCAAAACCGCATAAACCCTGTACATAGGAGGTACTACTTGTATTTGTGAGACATAGCTGAACACACACACACACACACACACACACACACATTTTTTAGAGCAGTAAAACGTTTGAAGTTAATATTGGTGAAAATAAAGTTTCATAATTTCTCAAACTTTTTTATATTTTATTCATATGAAGTTATATTTCATATCTATATATTTGAAGTGAAATGAAAGCCCCGTTGCTCCTGAACAAAAATGATGTATAATAAATGTGGGATACACTTCATATGAAGGGTAAATTATGGTTGAGCAAATATAGCTCAAATTCTAGGTTTTGTTTAGGTTCAGGACTTAGACAATTGTCCCCATCCTTTAGGGGAACGGGGGGAGAGAGAGAGAGTAAAATGGAAGTCGAGAACTTTTTTTCCATGAATAAATGACAATCTTTAGAGTTAAGAGAAAGAAGTTACTCATTAATACGACCGTTTTTTTTTTTTTTTTCCCTTTTCAGTAGTAACCGGATGAGGTCATAAGTTTGAACAGACTGTAAATAACCTGGGGACAGGTATACGGTAACTGGCACTACCATCCTAGCGCACAGCATTAACAGTCTTTATGTACACATTAACAAAATAATAAATGTACAAAAACAAAACAAAAAACAATGACAAAACAGTGGTACTGGCTACATCGGGAACGAGTGCAATGGAAACACTGCTCACTTACTATACTTGCAATAGGTGTGCCTAGCCTGGGGCATTGTAAGCAGCCATAAACACTATAGCTAATTACAGTGGTTCTGGAGATATGGTTTTGGGAGCCATATTAGTCATTTTTTCAAGTGGTTTGACAGAAAACAGGGGCAGATAAAGCTCAATATTTCTGTAGTTACTTAGATAAAGCAGAATATCCAGTTCTGATTTCTCTCTCAAACCATGGACAGTAATACGGTATGAGTCCTGGGCTGTATAGCAGAGGACTGTGGGATAAATAGGTAATTTCGAAATAACTGCTCCAATCATCACAGGATGGTGATACCAGGGCTGCTACTAATTTATACACAACCTGTTTCACTGTTTAGTGTTGGTTGAACCATTTAAGGCACATTCCAAGTCCAGGGATTGGCTCTCCGCAAGGAGAACAGAGAGAATTTCACTATTATGCGTGTGTAGGGTGTACGCCGCACACACCACAAGGACAAACTTGGACGTACATACAGTGGGCAGACAGACCATTTTAAAGCAGTAGCATTAACTAAAAACATTAGAAACACTTCTGGTGTAGTGGTTACGGTGTTATTAGGATGCAGACTCCATACCCCTGCTCTGGGTCATACTGTTTGTGAGTGGTTTGACCAAAACCAGAGGTCTTGGAGGCAGCTGCAGCCCATCCCCCTATTCACTTGTTGCTAATGCAGATGTTCCTCTTCTGCAATGACAATATCAACATAATATCAATGCATGGATGGAAGAGAAAGGTTGAGAGTGTTAATGGACTCCTTAAGAATGAGACTAAGAATTAAGAAGGAATGCAGTCTTGTTCCCACATGTATTATTTTAGGACATGATCCCTGGACTACACCATCCTATACGAAAAAATTTTTGTTTATGATTAACAACCTCCTGATGAACTAACTGTAACCCCTATAATGCTGGGCCAGTCATAGATAGAACAAAACAGTGGCTGTAATAAGTAAAACTCGAATGTTATGAAGCAACATTCTGTTTAAATTATACTCAATAAATACATTAAGCGGTTTACTTATTTATCAAATATACAAGATTTTGCGGCTATATACAATGACAGACATGACTTTTTATATTGGCTGGTGACAACTTGGAATTAAACGGCTCCTGCTCATAGAAAGTATTGTTCAGTTAGACATATATGTGTATATAGTAGCTGGCATTAACCCCTTAAGGACCAAATTTCTGGAATAAAAGGGAATCATGACAGGTCACACATGTCATGTGTCCTTAAGGGGTTAAGGTAGCTATAGTAATCACAATATTTGCAAATACATTCTCCACGATGTTCAGCCATACTGAACCCCAGCATAAAATTAAGACCACCAAAAGTAAAACAAGTGTGTACTTTGTGGATAGTTTAGCATCATGGGCAAAGTAACTGGAGTGGCAATTGTTAGGCATATTGGGCAACATACAGCCCCCACACACCCCCACTACCTCTTTAACCCCTTAAGGACCAAACTTCTGGAATAAAAGGTAACCATGACATGTCACACATGTCATGTGTCCTTAAGGGGTTAACTACAATTCCCATCACTCTCAGCCATCCACAGAGGACACATGCTGCTGCTAGGTGAAAAAATATGACATTTTACAGAAATCCACACTATATTGAGGGATAGAGGGGGTTATGGCTACTCACCTGCTGTGTATGAGCTGAAAGAGACAGGGATCAGCAGCACTTTGTGGGCATGTCTCTTTCTACCCTCCCTTTGCTGAACACTCTCACTGCTGGCAGACTGTCTCTTCTCCTCCTGGCTAAGTTGTGCTTTACTTCTTCCAGAGATCACTTTGGTGTCAACTTCTGTCTATTTCCTCTCCCACCCCCCATGCATCCCCTGCACTCTCTGCACTCTCCCCAGAGACCAACTTCCTCTCTCGGTCACGTGACGTCCTCCCTCCCTCCCTCAGGATGAGGTCACGGACACGCCCACCCGTGCAGGTAGGCTGCAGGTGACTCACCTGGAGCACCTCCTGTCCCAGAGACAGCCAATGGACGGTGACTGTTTATGTTTTGAAGCAATGACAAGTGATGATAAATGAAAACATGCTCAGAACCAAACACATACACAGAAACCTGAGTCACAAAGCTGAAATGTGTGAGAAGAAAGAAAATAATATCCAGCTGTCCTTTTAACATGAGAGGGTCCACCTACATACATAGCATATTGTGAGAATTGTCAGGAAATAAAAGTGAAATCATCAAAGTGAATTTCAAATTTAAGGGGAAAAAAAATAGGTGAATTGGGAAAGGGTCTCTAAATTAGCTATGCTTTTACTTTTGGCTGATTTTGTCTAAAATCTGAAATTCACTTTGATTTAATGGCAATTCTGACTTAAGTGAATAACCCTACAAACTTTAAATCAACAAGCGGTAATAATCAGCAAGATATTAAAGGACCACTATAGGCACCCAGCAGGGCCGTCTTTAACGCGGGGCAAACGGGGCAGCTGCCCCGGGCCCAGTTGCTCCTGGGGGCCCAGAGCAGCTGCTCTGTGGGCCCCGCGATTTGCGCAGCCCCTATGGACCGGGAGGCTCCCCGGGTGGCCCATGCACTAAGGGCCACCCGGGGAGCATGTGTCAGCAGGGGCCCGGTCAGGCGCTGTGGCGCTTAAACAGCGCGACCGGGCCCCTCTTACGGTTCTGCAGCCGGCTGGGAGGAAGTGACGTCACTTCCTCCCACCGGAGATAGCCGCGCGGGAGGAGGAAGGCAGGGAGGAGGGGAGTTCCAGGGGAGAACTCCCATCTGCCTCAGCCTGCCACTGGACTAGGGAAACCACCCTCCAGGAAAAGGTAAGAACCTGGAGGGTGGCTAAATGTATGCCAGTATGTCTGTGTGTGTGTCAGTATGTCTGTGTGTATGCCAGTATGTCTGTGTGTGTGTGTCAGTATGTCTGTGTGTATGCCAGTATGTCTGTGTGTGTATGTCAGTGTGTGTGTGTATGCCAGTATGTCTGTGTGTGTGTGTGTGTCAGTATGTCTGTGTGTATGCCAGTATGTCTGTGTGTGTATGTGTGTCAGTATGTCTGTGTGTATGCCAGTATGTCTGTGTGTGTATGTATGTCTGTGTGTGTGTGTGTGTCCAGTGTGTGTGTGTGTGTGTGTGTCAGTATGTCTGTGTGTATGCCAGTATGTCTGTGTGTGTGTATGTAGGTATGTCTCTGTGTGTGTGTGTACGTGTGTGTCAGTATGTCTGCCAGGATATATTTGTGTGTCAGTGTATGTGTGTGTCAGTATGTATCTGTGAATGTTTTAATGTCTGTCTGTGTGTATGTGCCAGTACGTCTGTCTGTGTGTGTGTCAGCATGTCTTTGTGTGTCAGTATGTCTGTGTGTGTATGTAAGTATGTCTGTGTGTGTATGTGTGTGTCAGTCAGTATGTCTGTCAGTGTATGTGTCTGTGTGTGTATGTATGTATGTCTGTGTGTGTGTGTGTGTCAGTATGTCTGCCAGGATATATTTGTATGTCAGTGTATGTGTGTGTCAGTATATATCTGTGAATGTTTAATGTCTGTCTGTATCAGCCATTACGTCTGTCTGTGTATATGTCAGTATGCCTGTGTGTGTGTGTCAGTGTGTGTCAATGTGTCTGTCAGTGTATGTGTCTGTGTGTTTTAGTATATCTGTCAGTGTATGTGTTTGTGTGTGTGTCAGTATATCTATTAATGTATGTGTCTGTGTATGTATGTATGTATGTATGTATGTCTGTGTGTGTGTCAGTATGTCTGCCAGTATATACACACAGTACACACAGTATATATTTGTGTGTAGTAACTGTGTGTGTCAGTATGTATCTGTGAATGTTTTAATGTCTGTCTGTGTGTGTATGTGCCAGTACGTCTGTCAGTGTGATTGCGGGTTGGACGTAATTGGGGGGTGAGGCAGTGGCAAGGACAGGGCCCATGGGGCCCAAGAAAATGCATTGCCCAGGGTCCTAATCATATTATAGACGGCCCTGGCACCCAGGCCACTTCGGCTCAATGAAGTGGTCTGGGTGCCAGGTCCCCCTAGTTTTAACCCTGCACCTGAAAACATAGCAATTTCACACTGCAAGATTAAGCCAGCCTCCCTGACAGCCCCTAGAGGCCGCTTCCACGATTTACACCGAGTAAATTTATTTGACACTTGACGTCCTCATGGAGTCCAGCGTCAAAAAAGATTGAGTAATGCTTTCCTATGGGCGGGTTTGAACGAGCGCACGCCTGCCTCTCGCTGCACATGCGCATTTGGCTCCACTCGGAAGCTGGCGCCGATGGAGTAGGAGAGGTCACCAGTGCTGAGGGAGACCGGCGCTGTATTAGGTAAGCATTAAGCAAATACATGGTTAATTAACCATTTATTCTTGCGGAATTGGGCCCTAGTCACCTAAACGGTGACTGGGGTTCTATAGCGTTAGGAATAACTCTATTGTGTTCCTTTAATACAACTTAAAGTATAAAGCATTAGTCACATACCTCCCAAGTGTCCCTGTTTAGTATCTAAAATCCCTCTGTCCCTACTTTCTATCTAATGTCCCTCTTTATTTAGATCTCAAATTGACAGTGTGCCTGAGCGCTCAGCAGAGCTTTACAGCTATAATACTCCCAGTAATGTGTATTTCAACAAAAATGTGTTTAGAAATCAGACTCTGTAAATAATATACTTTGTTCTTCTTCAAAATTACATCTTAGTTGCATAAATTATTAGTAGTAAGTCACTTAAAATTTCTCACTCACACCCCTAAGATTAAAGTGTCCCTCTTTATCCATTTAAAATGTTTGGAGTGGGAGGTAGTCATGATTCATGTATATTACAATCAAAGCGTATTTCTTTGTTGCTAAGTATTATGACTGTTGAATAAAAGTTTGTATTTTCTGCATCTTCAGTGTGATAGTCGTTCCTTTAAACTATTAGATTTACATAGAGGTAAATGGTGTATTCCCCAAATGTTGCTCTGTGACGGTCTGTCAAAACTCTGTACAACATTTATCTTTTTGTTCTAATATGCTCAGTTTCTTTCAATAGGTATTCAGACCCCATTGTAGAAAATGCTTTCAGCTTTAATATTATTAATTCCCTTAATATACTTGAAAGTTTCTATAATTTAATAAGCTCTCTCCACTCTCTCCGTTAAAGTATTACTTCAAGCACCATAACCACTATAGCCCACTGTGGTTGTTGAGGCCAGGCCAGTTTCCACAGTAATGGCATACACTGTTTAGCCACTGTTTGCCCTCTTACCTGGCTTCTTGCTGATCTCTGAGGCCCCTTGCTCCTCTGCTGACACGATCCAGTCGTCCTTTATTGGTTGAGGGCATCAGACAATGAATAGCACAAAGTGCATTAAAATCTGCACAGTATTGACATCAGAGCTCTTATACCTCCAGCCTCAAAGGGGTTAAACTTAGAGATACGCTTCATATTCAGACTCAATGCACCATGACCACTTCTAATCACTGAAGTGGTCAAGGTACTTGGAGTAACTCATTACCATTTTTGGTTTCTGCTGTGGCATATTGATTGTACAGTTGTGTAAAGTTTTCTTAGTATTTGTGACAAACTCTCCTTAGCCTGGACGTTTGCCACAAGCTCCTGGAGGAATGTGGAAGCTGGCCTCCTGCCCACCGACTATAGGCCATATGCAATGCGATGAAACCCTGTAATTTCCCTTGCCTGGTTATTTTCCTTGCATTTGGTAGTTGGATCTGCCGAACACCGTCCACCCCCGTGGCTCATTTAACTTCAAAGAAACCACAAACTCAATTGCTCTCTCTGTGTGGCCGCTGTATAACCGAACAACACGTGTGCTGGAAAACGGCGGCCATCTTGTCTCCCGAAAGCAGGCAGCGGGAATTGGTCGTCGCGTGTCTGGAACTATAAGTCGGACACTCGACCTCACGAACACAGGTGATTTTGGACGAGCCTCTGCTTCTATTCTTTACAGGACGCAATGTGTGCAATCAGTTAAAACTTTACTTCGGTGGCGATTCGGTTGTATTCGTGGGATCTGAGTTCTATTTGGATATGTTGGGCAGATTTGGATATAAAGGATTTCTGGGGATCCCTATTAATATTATGTATGTTTTGGGGTGTTTTGTATTTTATATTTTGTACCTCTGGTGCAGGGGTGGGGAACCTTCGGCCCTCCAGATGTTTTGGACTACATCTCCCATAATGCTGGAAAAGCATCAACGAATAAGTAGTCCAAAACATCTGGAGGGCCAAAAGGGTTCCCACCCCTGCTCTAGTGCCTGGGAGATAATTAGTTTAAGCAAAGTATACTCAATTATTTCCCAGACACAGAGACGCCTGGACGTGTTTTACTATAGTTACATAGCTGAAAAGAGACTTGCGTCCATCAAGTTCAGCCTACTATGTTTTTGGCTGGAGTGCCCATGCTGGCGGTCTGTGCATATAAGTGGGCCATCTCGCCATAATAAAACCATTCCAGTTGAACATTTCATCAAGTCTCGACTGATGTTTGGGTATGCGAACAACAAAAGATTGATTTTTTCCACAACCTGCATGGATTTTGGGAGAGTACGAATTAGCGTACTATGCGAATGGGCTATAATCACGCAAGCCTCTAACAATTCAGGAATGTGCGAACGACCATACTTTACGAAGTACAAGGGGTTGGGTACAATATTCATTAAACCTCTTAAAGAAAAACTCCAGCTAACATAACCATAATGAGCACTGCAGTGGTTATGGCGACAGGATTTGCCTGGCGCCCCCTCATGGTAAGTAGTCCAACCACCCCACCCCCACTTGCTTGCAGCTTTATGTCCTGGGTATGCCCTGCAGATTGATCAGCTGACATTCTCAGTCAATGGTCCAGCCCTGCACTGCAAAGATGAATGCCTGAGAGCAAAGGGAAGCTCCTGCCTAGACTATTTTTCACTCTAGACCCCAGCGATTTACTCCACCCCCCTGTGTACCTCTCCTCTTCCCCCCAGCCCTCTGTCCCCCCCAGTCCACCTAGCTAAGTTAGGGAGAGCTGGTGTTGGTCCTGTCCTGGGGTCCAGTGTGCGGCTCGTGTCATTTTCATGCTCTTCCAGCACAGTTCCCTTGCGTGCCTTTAGCGATACCAGGGCTGGAGTGACATTGGACATTGACAGTGGAGTCATATCCCTGCTCATGGCATCACCGCAGAGGGAGCAGTGCTGGAAGATCATGAAGAGTATACCTTCCTCACCATCTGGCTTCAGCCGTCCACCGGACACACAATATTTCTGCAGAGTAGGCACCTGCCGTCCAGGTGTTGAAGTGTCTGTTCTGCCTTAACGCACAACTGGTGACCATCCTGCCAGCTCATGGGCCCCGGTGTTCGGTGTTTAATGAATGAAGATACCAGGTAGCCTGATACAGACACAACCCTTGTCTTCTCCTATATGGTTTTACACCTTAGTTAACTGTGTAACATCAATTGCATAGGTTCAGGGAGGGCAAGGCCATAGAATCAGCAAGCCTAAACGGTGGAGGTAATATAAAAAAAAGATCTACTGGGTCTATCTCTTGTATTTTGCCAATTTCAAAGACGTGTTTCTATACAAGATAGAATACAAAAATAGGAAAAGAAGTCATATAAGATAGATAAGAAATCAAGTCTTCCAAGTTCTCTGGAAGATCTCTGGTGGCTACCTTCCCCAATTTACCATCAGACACACCATTCATAAAAACATCAACAAATGCCTGATTATTCCAACATACTTCTGCTGCTAAGGAACAGAATTCTAATGCGTAATCAAGCAAAGAACTATTGCCTTGTCTTAAGCAAAGGAGATATCTGGCTGCATTAGTCTTCCTGTCAATGGGATCAAATGTCCTCCTAAAAGCATCTAGAAAAACCACATGATTTTGGCTCTATCAGGCCCTAGTCTGTAATTTAAAATGTATCCTTATTTGGTTCAAAAACCACAAAGTATCAGGTGTTCCACTGTAGCATATAGGTGGGAAGTGAGAAAGTACCTTTTCTTTCCAACTGAAGTTTATTCATTTTGTAATATAAAAACAAGAAAGGTTACATAAAATAAGAAGGGAGTGCAAGCTTACATCTAGGGGGTTGTCATATATCAAGATGTGGACATGGTGTACAGCAGCCATGTCAAACGCCCGACCCACAACTAATATTTATGCAGCCCACGGTGAGGGAGCACTGAGTGTAAGCTCTCCCTGCTCAGCTCCCCACAGTGATGCCCGGAGCCGCAATATGACATCACTCCGGCTCCCGGCATCACTGCAGCGCGCGAGGGAGCTGAGCATGTAGAGCTTGGTGTGTGTTATCCAAGACAACTTACAAAGCATTTATGTGGTTGAATCTGCAAGAGTTTT